CTTCTCCATTTCTGACTTCCCCAGCGGCATACCCATAATTGTATAACCCATTTGTTTATTTTTAATTCCAAAGTGCATTACTTTGCATTTATCGACATTAAACCTCATCTGCCACATTAACAATGGTGGCAGATGAGTTGGAACATTGGTGTCACATTCTGCAATAATCTATTCTAAAGCCGGCTCCATCCCACAGAGAGGAATATACACGAGACAGGAGTATACTGATCTGCATAACGCCGATCCACAGAGAACACAATATCCCGCCACCTCTTGCACCCTGCTAATCCTGTAAGAGAATAGAGCCGTTACAATGCAGTCCGATTTCACCGGGCCGGTAATGAGGAGGAAACATTCAATTTACCTAAAAAAAAAAAAAAAAAACCCTCTAAAAATAACAGAGCGGAAAAAAATTAAATACAAAGTTCTGAGCTCTGGAGAGGCCGCAGGACCAGCGGGGAGAATTGTAAAGAGGTTTCTCACAATGCTTCGGGAAAACCTAATGTAGATGTTTCCTTTCATAAAAGAACTATGAATAACACGTCCACATAAAGACATCTGAAGGAGCTCGAGAAACTTGACAATGGATGTCTTACTGCAGCCAAAGCTAACCTTTGATATGCGAGTTGTGTGGTCGGCATCCCGTGGGGGGGGGCGAAAAATAGCCGGATTTTCACCTCTTTCAACCGTTTCCTAAAATATATTACTTACAGAATGATGGAATTAGTTCAAAACCCCATGGTCCTCCCTGTGTGTGTTGTTAAGTAGTCACCGCCTCAAGCTCGCTCCTACAATCCAGGGGCGTCCCGAGGCTGGGTGACACCCAGAGCGGTTACCGGCTGTGTCACCCCTCCAAGACGTCACCGCGTGGCGATCTTCTGATACCTGCCGGCGGCCATCTTGGTGATGGACGCCGGCAGAGAGAGGAGGGGAGAGTCACCCGGCAGGGTAAGGTATGCCACCCGGTGCCCTCCTCTCTCCTGATACTGTAGGGGCGGTCGGTCCATGACCGAGCACCCGACTTTTCAAAGGAGGGCGACACCAAAATGACTGTCACTCCTTTTGGTGTCACCCCTCCAATGGTGTCAGCCGGGCCGCACCCCCCTTATGTAGCCACTGCTACAATCTCATGTTTAGTTTACTAAATTGTATTGCAATTGTAGTCCATCCCGGGGGGGGGAGCTTGGAGCGGTGACTACTTTACAACACACACAGGGACCATGGGGAACAGACGTAGCCCCCCCTCCAGAAGGAAGGACAGTGTCAGCACCAATTCAGAGATGATTGGAGGATCTACAGCCGAGTGATACACAAATAAGATACATTGTTGCTCAGAGTTAAAGGAGAACTATGAGGGGGGGGGGAGGGGCTTTTACCTCACCTCATAGTTCTAGCCGACCTGTGACAATGACACCGTC